ATTTTTGTCTCTCTGAGGATTAATCGTTGCGTGTTTTTGTTTAGAGCAGCTCAGCTTCGCCTCTGTGCTGACGGTGGCGCCAACCGAGTGTACGATGAAATGCCTCGGTTGTTTCCCCAGGAAGATGCCTCCGATGTTCGGCGCAGGTTTCTTTGCCTCTTCCCTCTCTTTTTCTTCCTCATGTGGTTTGAATTTTTATTAGTTAAAACCTTATGAATTTGGTCAATATCAGGTCCAAAAATTGTGGAATCGTTACAGAACGTATCGTAGTTTTGAGAATCGTTTGGTTGATTTTTTTTTCTTATTGATGTTGTTGTTCTAAGTGATCCGACGAAATGATTTGTTTGTTGTTCTTTTTAAGCTATGTCATAACATAGGGCGCTTTGATTCATAGCAGATACAAGCCGGATGTAATTAAAGGAGATATGGATTCAATACGAACTGAAGTGCTTGATTTTTATACGAGCCTAGTAAGTCTGCGATTTTTTCTTTTAGTTAGAACCATTTAACTGATAATATCAATGATTTTTATGCTTAAGGTTCTAAAGCGTGTTTCCCATCCATTCTTGTCTTGCCAATGTCGTGTCCTATGTTTGTGGCATCTGCTGCTCTGTTTTTATGAGCATTAGTTTCTTCTTCCTTGTATTTGAGGTGTTACATCTCTCTGGTTCATATATTTTTATTGCTGAGATGTTTTCGCTTGCTTCTTTGTTGTAGGGAACAGAGATTATTGATAAATCTCATGATCAAGACACCACAGATCTACATAAATGTGTAACATACATTCGCGACTTTGCTCCAGATTTGGATAAGTCTAATGTAAGTTAAAACTTAATTGTAGTAGTAATAGTTACACTTTGTGCAATATTCGTTTTTCTTTTATTTTATGTTGAATGGCATTAGTACTTGAATATTAGTTTGGAAGCAGGTATTACTTACAAGTTAGGGAGAAGAATCTGCACCAGATTACTATAAATTTTACATGTAGTGTGTGCTTTGATTGGTATTTTATCATATTTATTTCCTGATTTAATGGCAGCTTTGCATTCTTGTTGCTGGAGCACTTGGTGGGCGATTTGACCATGAGATGGGAAATTTAAATGTCCTATGTCGATTCTCATCCCTTCGAATAGTCCTTTTATCTGATGATAGTCTCATCCATCTTCTTCCAAGGACTCACCATCATGAGATACATATTCTATCTTCTATTGAGGGCCCGCAGTGTGGACTCATACCCATTGGGATGCCATCAAGGAGTAGTACTACAACTGGGCTTCAGTGGGATCTGAGTAAGTATATGATTACATTTACATTGCTCTGGTACTTGCTTTCAGTTCACTAGGCTATTTAACTCAAATGGACATAATTTCATGATATCATGCCTTGCTATGCTGCTTTGCTTTTCGCTTCACTTGAAGATTACACTTGTTTAGATAGCGAACATTGTCAGGAGTCTGAAGGGTATATACAGAGTCAGAACTCCTGAAGAGTATATAAGATAAATGTTCTTCTAGCTTACTTTTTGTAGCTCTTGAGCAATTGAGGTTTATGTAGAGAAAGGGAACTAATTAATTCTATATGATTGAACGAACTTGTCCCTCACATGCAAAAGTAAAACATGGCTAAATCTTATTGTAGTGTAGAATCATCTTATCTTTTGGTGTCATGTCAGTATGATCCAAACTACTAAAGAGAAATTGATTGTTGTTTTTGGAGGGAGAGGGATATTGAATTTTACTTAAAACAGCTTCACCTTTCCAGTTAATGTTTTTGTCTTTCTCTTCTCTCCTATCTATCTATCTATCTATCTATCTATTCAGACACCTTGTGACAGCTAATATGAGCAAAACGCACACATGCATGTCCCCTATATTAATGAAAAGCCTGATAAGAACCCACATGTGGTAGAGAGAAAATCTTCAATTACTATTGCATTAGTGTCCTAACTCTGTCTACTTCATATTTCCTGTTGTCCGTGGATCTCCCCTATGCACTTAGAGATGGCTGTGGCTTATTGTTATTATTTTTTTCTCATTCCAGATGAAACAGAAATGAGATTTGGTGGTTTAATAAGCACATCAAATATAGTTACAGGAGAGAAAGTGATGGTGCAATCTGATTCTGATCTTCTTTGGACCATTTCCATTAAGAAGTTGTAGCGGCTACTGCTATTGGGATGAGTTGCTCAGGTTGCAGATTTCACTTTCTCTAAACCCAGATAATTATGGTCCACTCTGATTTTTTTTTTTTTATCAATGTTTGTCCTTACAATGGTATATTTACACGTCCAATTCGAATTTCAAAATATGGTTGAAGATTTATATCCAGGGTCTGGCATATCATGCTGCACTTATGTGTAATGTTGCTACTACTACTGTAATGGGAGAGGAAATTTACTGTTCCATTCCAAAATCCTTTCAAATTTTCAGCTCTGATAAGTTCAAATTGTAATGGGATGTATTTGGTATCTCATTCAGTTACGTTATGAAGGGTTGTTAACTGAGAAGTCCTTGATGATGGTGGAGCGATCATGAGTTGCTTGCTGCAATGGTTTTTCCTCTTTTTTTTTTT